TATATATATATATATATATATATATGAAAGTGACAAATTGAGACAATTTAATGTAATGTTTTCATTGACTAAAATACAAATAGATATATTTTATATGATAGCAGTTAATAGATTTTCGAACAAAATTTAAGTATAAAGACTAAAATAAGATTTTTTGAAATTATATAGACAAAAAATTATTTTAAATTTGAAGAACTAAAAATAGATATATCTTAAATTTGAGAAGTCAAAAACATATTTAAATCTATATTTTATTTTATTCGATAATTTCTCATATAATTTTTTTATATAGTTTTAATAAGTTAGAAAGAGTAATGTTAACATGTACTTCTCTAATTTTAATAGAAATTATATCATAAAGGTGTGATATGTGACACCCTCTATCCTTCATGTCATAATACATAAATAATAAAAAATTAAATAACATAATTCTTTATAATTAAAACCAAACATATTCATATAGAGAATATCACATTCATAACTTAATGAAATAGTATAATCAACAAAAATTACAAAAGTAATAAAACTAATATTTCCAAAATAAATTAATAGTAACCACATTTTAATTTAACCCTATCTACACATTGATGTCACATGTCTTAATAAAGCAAAACTCAACTCTAAAATCTAAGTCTCATTACCAATGTCACCAGCATCATGCTAATGATCACCTGCATAATATTCAAAGGAAAACAACACAAAATGAAAGAGTAAGAAATATCTCACTCTAACTCACGATGTAGGAATGCACACCAAATAGTCAAAACAAATAAAACTACATATGTACATAATAATTAATTAACAAATAACATTTCAATGCACATGTAATTGACACAAACTACATAGTATCATGCATGTGGCACTAGTAAAAACATCACAAGGTGCATTGCCACTAGCAACACGCCTAGGAGTATATGCGAGGTCACACCCTCTACACACTCTCAATAAGAGAACATATTACCAAGGTCTAGTCGAGATAGTTAAGTCATGCAAGATACATCTCATGCACACAAAAGGGTAGGATTAGGACTTCCAAATCAAACTATCCCCAAGGATTGACTCCCAAGCTTTTACATAAGGGGGCTTCCCTAATGATGTATTCCATATCATATCCTCAAAAACATTTATGCATATGATGCATGTAAATCAAGACTATATGCATTATCATATCACATTATCATGTTTCATTATCATATGACCTTATAATGTTGTTTCGAATTTATTAATTTATCTCATAAAACATAATCATCAAGCATCTAAAGATAATAATCACAATGCAACTGTATTCATTAAAGGTTAACAATGAATAGAACAAGAAAGCACATCACTACCATTCATAGATCATAGGAGAGAAGTAGCATAAGATTCACATCACATCAATAGAATTCATTAAACAAAGAAGGAAGGAAACACAAATAAACAACTAACTTTGACCCTTTGGTTGATCCATGCTCAACATGAAACTTACGCTCAACATGACCAAGCTCGACGTGAAACTCATGCTTAGCATGGTGATCACAAACAATACTTCTAGCTTTTTGTCACCATGACGCTTAGCCCCAAAAATGGCGTTCAGTGTGGTTTCTACAATTAGAAACTCTACAATTTATGATTTTTCGTATTTTCATCCCAAATCATCAATTTATTTATACAATCAGTGAAAATATTCTAAATCATACAATAAACATTCAAAATAGTATAATTTGCTCATATAATTACATTTTCAAACAATCTTCTCATACAACTATTGATGTATTTCCTTATGATTTCCCATAGGAACCCATAGGGATACCAAAATATGCAATTATAAGCCGAACCCGAACATTAATCACACATATTGATTACATCAGTCAAAACATACAAGGAGAAATAGAGAAGAAAAAGGAACATTTGGGAAAAATCCTCATACATAGACATACAACTAAGACAGGATTGGGGGTCAATCCCACTATCAGCATACATTCTCACACTCAGAGCGAGGTTTATCACTCCCTTCATTACCTTGATAAGCACTAGACAATGGTCTTGCAACTTTGAGGTGGTTTCCTTCTCCTTCAAGTTCTTCGAGCTTAGAAGGGTAAGTGTGTACGGGAAATATATGAGAGCGTAAAAATTGATCAGAAACCCTTCTTTTAAAATTTAACTTTTTCTTATAATTCTCCTTTAGTTAAAACACTTAATCTTAGTTACTAATTCTATTCTCTCTAAATTTAATTAGATAAAACATTTAAATAAAACCTTTAATGACGGTAGAGGCATAGCTAGGGGACCCACCACTAGGGCCATGTCTAGGAGGATGCAAGAGGAATGGGTTTATGTTGAGGTTAGTGGGCCTAAGCTTCTCCTAAGTTCGGCTAACTAGTCTAACAACTTTATCAATATCACACATTAAGTCCTTAGACATAGCTATCATCAAAACATCTCATGCCATTAACAATCAACATACACCATAATTTATTAATAATTGTTTGTTTTTATCATAATTAATCCTTCCTAAACATTAATATAAGTCCTCAAACCATTTATAAGATCAAATACTTAAAGGGTAAAGTTATTCATTATCCTCATTCACAAACTACATTTCTACAACTTAACCTTCTAAGACATTGTGTGATCTGAATGCCCTATACAATTATCGTCAACCTCTATGTTGACCTCAAGAGCTAATTATGTCATCTAGTATTTTAAAAAAATACAAAACCATAACATTTCAACCTAAATTTGATAATCTGACCTTTATTCACTAATTTGATCATAACTTGAGTCCTAGACCTCCCTTTTAGGTGATTCCAATGGAATTTGAAAAATAACATTCAAAGCTATAATTTTTATGAAGATTACAAAACCTAGTTCTTCCCTTTAGGTATAATCAAAAGGCTTAATATAAGATTTTAGGGTTTAGGGTTTATATAAGATTCATCTTTTAACTCATATAACTCGGTCATTCCTTAACATTTTTATGTAATTCTTTAGTCTACACTATAGCCTCAAATGTCAACTTTACAACCCAATAATCAAAACTTAATTTTATTAATTGCACACAGAGGAATCACATAAATACCAAAGTATATTCATACCAAAATTTTTATAA